ATTCTTACGAACGAGAATCATTACAAAGATTTCCTAAACAAATGGCATCTTTACAAAATACTTTCAAAAACCACACCAAGCACAATTTCAAACAAAAGCAAGTGATCTAGCAAGTAATTAAGAGCCCATGGAAAACCATGGATGAAAAGGGTGTTAATACCTTCCCTTTTCATAATCTACCCCCCAAACTCAAGAAATAATCTCAAAGGTCTTTCTTGTGCTTTTTCACCTTTCCTTTTGGATAAAAGAAAAGTCTGTGGCGACTCTTGCTAATCGCAAATTTGCGATCAAACACAAAACACCTAAGTCAGTTCACCCACCGCATCATACCATCCATCCGCTATTTTCATTACATCTTATCCAATACTATTTTCCAGGAGGGTGAACAACAACAAAATAAATTATAAGGAATTGTTTTTCCTGCACTGCATCTCCACGCCTAATTAGAAAATCAATGCTAGTGCGTTCCTCTTGGCACATATCTAATCCGTCTGTGCAAGGGGTACTACACATTTCTCTATTGGAGGGTTAGTTAGCTCTATAAAGCTTTCTTTGAACCTGGGGGACACACTACAAATTGCCTTCATTACTAGCCCTATTTATCAATGTTGATAACTATCGTGCTGGGCATCTAATCAAGGCTAGAGAGGATGGAAAATATAATCTTATGTTGCAGAATAAAGTGGTTCTGGGTATTATTTTGCCTAATTCCATGCTCATCGATGTAAGAAATATGGAGAAGTGGCGTTATGATCTAAGTGCTCCTGCTCCTGGTGAAAACGTCCAGGATAACCAAGGTGGTCCGAACAATGCTGAGCCCGATGAAATAGAGAAAGTGCTAGAGCAAGAATCTCCACAACTTGACATCCACTCACATGCTGCACAAATTCCTCCTGAAAATTTTGCAGGTTCATCATTCGGGCACCAGCCCCAAAGAAGAAAAAACTAGGGATAGCCAGCTACTCTTGATTACATTTATGCTGAAATGTTGTGACATAATGAAGCCGAAACTCAACATTATCAAATAATGGAAGCACATCATAATGAGGTGATGCATGAGGTCTGACAACTTCAGCGAGATCAACATGATTGCACCTACTGGCATGAGTGTAGTATGTCGGAGCTAACCAAAGAGATGTGAGCATTGGACTATCGGGTTAATGGCCTGCACGATTTTGTTACTCATGTCGAACTACAGGGATTTGGTGTAGAGCCTTTCCAAGGTAGAGATGATACATGTGGACGAGCACGGGCACGTCGCGGAGCACGTGGTTGAGGCGAAGAATAGTCATCATCTTAGTTTCTTCTTTCCTTTCTCACATTACGTCGTTGCATTGGGGACAATGCTCAGTATAAGTATGGGGGAGGAAGCTTTACCGCTTTCATTTATCATTTTCTAAGTAGATTTACATTATCTCCAATTCCCCTTAAATAAACATTTATGTACTATCAAGTCTTTATATGCAAATTTCCATTCATTATTTGACTTCCTCACTTTCTTGAGCCATAATAAAAAAAAAATTACTTGTCACATTAGAAAAGTATATAGGTTGCTCACTCTTAAGATATGTTAGAAATTTTGAATAAAATTTAAACAAAATTGATACCATCTTAACGCTCTAAAACCCACGCTTACGCGAGACCGATTTAAGTACCTAGTATATCGAAACCTTAATCTTTAAAGTAACCCCAAGTAGTTTATATAAGCAATCGGTGCCATCTTAAAAACAAACTACATAGAGAGCCGATGTATATAAGTGAATGGTCTTAAAATAGTTTCCAAAAACATCTTGTAATAATGAATTGAAAATAGGGAATACGTTAATTAGGTTAGGTGACCCTCACCCGGTAACTTAATCCAACAGTTGCAAAACCTACAAAATATATTATAACAACCCGATGTAAGTTGGTTTAGAGGTTTTTGGTGCTGAACTTGGTAGGACGGACTAAGGTTTGATCCCCGCAACTTACAATCGGATAAATAAAGGGGTTACCAAATTTATGTACCAGAACTCCGTGCTTAAAATGAACATCACTAACCGGCTACTCTACTATGTGCATACAAAAAAATAAAGGGCTTAATGTGATTGCGCTCGAACAAAATGGGTGAAACAAAGCAAAAAGAATTAGGTTGAGCTATAATAGCATGATTGGGACTGGTCTGCATAAGGTGGGGTTGTTTAGTGTCATTATTGTATCTTTAGTGTTGATATTGAATTTATATTGTTCTAACGAAAATACCTCGTAACCAAGTACAATTTGAGTTATGTCATGTATTTGCGTTTAACCTGTGTTTAATTGATTTTCATACTGATTACTTGCTTGAGGACAAGCAAAGGTTCAAGCATGGGGAAGTTTGATAACACAAAAATGCATTGCATATTCGGCTCGATTAGCTTAAATGATGTTACCGTTTTCTGTTAATTATGTTGCATTATGTTGGTATTTTAAGTGTTTTTCAGATATTTGCATTTCACAAGACTCGCACAAGAAAAGAGGAAGAAATGACATAAATGTGTGACTCTATAGCAGAAAATAGAAGAAATTGCATCACAGGACTGTGACGGTCGTCACAGCCTCCTGCCGGTCGCCACGGTATGTGTTTATGTATGCCCCTCGGCACACATGTGTTAGGGTAGCCACAACTTTGACTTGTGTGCCCCATAGCACACAAGGCATGTCCCTCACCAAAGTCTGTAATGAACATGTTCTCTCCACGTCTGCAATAAACTCTTGTATTCTATCAACCAGAACGAACTAAACCTGTATTATGCTCCACTCCATGATGACCACGTCCCTGATTATTTGGAGAAGCCGAGTCTTCTGATTGATACACAACTCCTAAATTTTCTCTAACAAAAGTTACAAGCAGGATATAAAAAAGGAAGCAATTAAGCAGCAAGGACTCTCTCACGCTTTTGCTCAATTTTCTCATATAGAACCATTATTTTAGAAATTTTAAGCAGATAATTTCTCACCTGAATTAGCAAAAGCTTTCCACATCGTGGAACTATTGCACGAGTAGATTTTATTCACAGCTTTCAGACTTTGTTTTAATCTTATGTTTTCTTTCTGCATTCAAGTTATTTTTCGTAAGCAAATCCTGTGGGCATATTGTGGAGGATTGCACTTGGTACTAGAAGTATAACATTAATTTCAGTTTTCTTTTATTCATTCCAGATTCCTATTTCATTTATATACTACATTTATTTAATAATCATTATAATGTTATTGTTTGTTTACTATAATTTTGTATTGGTTCTCAATAACATGGCTAGCTAATTTTCCTGATACCAGTATGTAAGGTCATAGAACCGAAAGGGTTCAGTAATAAATTTACATAAATATTTATAAAATACTTTTTTGGTTTGGTTTCCAACATTTAATATTAAAACTGTTTTGTTACGAGAGTAAAAGACAAACGAAGGCTAAAATAGATATAACGAGAGTTTGAGATTTTAACTGGATAGTGGTAATCAAACATTAGTTTTAAATACAACGAAAACAGTTTAGAACTGATTAGATTCTATTTGTTTTCAAAAAGTATTTTTAGATTTTAAATGAGACAGCGAGAGCAAGCATTTAAGTTCAATAATATAGTCTGAATCAATAATTACGAGAGTTTGAGATAAAGGTTTTTAAGTTGATAGTCTCTACTGAAATAGTGTTTTGAATACTCAAAGCTATGCCAGTGACTTACTGAATCCCTGAAGTTTGACGTATTACATATCGGTGTCCCGTTATCGAATATTTCATTTAAGTCTAAGTTTATTTCCATCTCACCCAAAACCCAAGATTAATTATTAGCCTTAGCTTTACATTGTGACTTTAGATAACATTAATTTGATTATCATTCCTTGTGGATTCGATATCTTTTAAAACTACACGATTAGACTGTGCACTTGCAGTTACTACATCTGATAGACTCTTAAAGTCGCGATCACAAGTGTACCCCAAGGTGAATTCTTAGCCTAACTTTATGTTCAGTAGGTGACCTATATAAGACAAGTTTTAGGGTTAGGTTTCAAATTAAACAATTACGTTTTTATCCACATTGAGACCACAATCAACTATTAGGATAAACAATTAGGGTTACAACACGTTGGGACCACAAATAAAACATTAAGAAGAAGACACATTGGGACCACATACATAGACATAAAAATAGAAATTCATACTTGAGACCGAACTTATCGTCTTTGTGCCTATTGGATGAAGGTGATGGTTGATACATTGCAACCAGAACAAGTTTTTGTGCGTCTTCGATTCTGAAACTTAACAATTTTAGGGTTTCCTTTGAAGGTGACGAACGAAAATGGTGGAATGATGAGCGAAGAATGCTGAACTTAATTTTGTTAGAGTTAAGTAATGATTTTTTATTCCTTCAAATTAAATAAAAGGTTCCTAAAAAAATAAAATATTAAATCACAAATTAAAAATGAACAATAAATTAGTTTTAATGACATAGTAAGTGATTGAACAAATCTTGAGATATCATATTATTGAAATAGCTGATAAATGACCGGAGACCATAAAAAAAATTCATGTAAATTAATATTAGGGGATCTAATAGATAATTTTTTTATAGAAAAACTAAAATGTTAAGAAAATTAATATAAGGGGACTAAAAATACATTTAAGTTTTATTTTAAAATAGATTTTAATGATAAGAATATGTTGACAAATTTAAGATGACATGTCAACAAAATTGTTGCTACAATATGACTTGGACATTAAATTTGTCAAAGTAGGTCAATAAAATTGACCCAAAATTAGATGAGAGACAATATTAAGAAAAAACTAAAATTGAGAAACCAATAAATTTTCAAAATTGAAAGTTTATTCTACCTCTAAATACACAAGCGGGTTTCATATGAACAAATATATTTAGAGAAATATTATAATGTTTTAATACAAATTTATATAAACTTTACCTATGATATGAAGCAACATCAGCATCGCTTGGATTGCACTTTTCCATTCTCCCTTCCAAAAATCCTATGTCTGATCACATTGCGACGGGACAACAACTCGCGAACAAAGCGGAGAAAAAGCTCTTCTGTTGTTGCGCCTTGTTTGGTTCCAATTATCAAGATGCCGCTGAACTCTTCCTCAAATCTGCTAAATCGTTTAAACTTGCCAAATCATGTTTCTTTCTCTAACACTTGTCACCTTTTTTTGTTTTGTTTTTGTTTTTGTTTCATGCATCATAACCATCACCACCCATCATGGTTTTTCACTTTGTTTCAAATCCTAAGTTGTTAATTTAAGTATTTGATCTTTTGTGTGTTCATTTTTTTATTACCAAGTTGGTAAAGTTTCAAGCTTTCTCTATTTTGGTGCTTTGGGGTATCATGGTTTCATTTCATGCATCATAACCATCACCACCCATCATGATTTTTCACTTTGTTTCAAATCCTAAGTTGTTAATTTGAGTATTTGAACTTTTGGGTATTCATTTTTCATTACCATGTTGGTAAAGTTTCAAGCTTTATGTATTTTGTTGCTTTGAGGGTATCATGGCAATTTCTAGTGGTTTGGTTTGTTTCAGGGGAGAAAGCAGGTTCAGTCTTCATCAAATCAGCTAAATGTCATATCAAGGTTTGTTTCTATGGTTTTTCATACTTTATTAGATGCAACTCTTTATGGTGTTAAGTTTATATATATGATTATGACATGGGTAGTCTTTAAGGGCGTGTAAGGTAGACTACCACACATGGTTCAATATTTGTCGCGTTTAAACTGCGGTTAAATAGGGTCTTTATTTGTTTTATCATGGTTAAACTGCTACTACTCTGTATAGGGTCTTCAAAAACCTGAGCCGACTGACCGACCCTGATTATGATGATCATGTATGTGGTTTTTTGCAATTGTATGTGATCACAGTTAGATAACAAGTTTGATGCTGCTAAGGCTTATGTAGATGCTTCTCATTGTTTCAACAAGACATCTAGAAAAGGTGCTTATTATAGAGATTTGAATGCTAAGGTTTATTCATTAATGATTCAGCATAACCTTAATAACTTTTGTTTGTTGCTTATGTTTTGATGTTTTAAGGAGCTATTAAATGTTTAAATAAAGCAGTAACTATCTTCACCGAAATCGGTCAACACATCATGGCTGCAAGGTATTGCAAGGTACTTTCTGTTTTAGTGTGTGTGTAAATCTTAGATGCAAATAGGATTGAGACGATGGAGAGCTAATTTAAACAGCGAGGTTAAATCATTTGAAAGGGTTTAATTTGTCTTTCTGGATTTAGGAAATCGGTGAGTTATATGAGCTTGATCAAGACTTAGAGAATGCGAAATCATATTTTGAGAGGGCTGCTGAACTTTTTGATTTTCGCGGTGATTCAACAACCTCTGTGATCCAGTGCAAACAGAAAGTTGCACAATTATCTGCTCAACTTCAAGAGTTAGTGTTTCTCTTTCTGTTCCATTCAATGTGATTTTTCAATAGTGTGCTTGGAATTATCATTGACTAGAGTTAGAAGTCATGAAAACTTGGATCATATTGATCTCCTTGATATTTACCAGATATCAGAAGGCGATTAAGATTTACGAAGATATTGCACAACAATCCTTGAATAGCAATTTATTGAAATATGGAGTTAGAGGATATCTTCTTAATGCTGGCCTTTGCGAGCTTTGTCGAGGGGATATTGTTGCAATTACCAACGCCTTGGAGCGCTATCAGGTTCAGGTTCTTCTTAATGTTTCTTCTTGATATTGGAGTATTACTTTACATTCATACTTTTAACATATTTTCCGTTCATCGCGTAGGAATTGGATCTAACATTCTCTAGAACCCGAGAATACAAATTTTTGGCTGTAAGTGGTGGAACTCCCTGTTCCCCTTGAACTCCATAAGAAAATGTGTCGTAGTACAAACTTGTTTGGTTTTCTACTTTTCTCTCTCTTTTCTTGTTCGCAGTTTGTTTTTAATCATTTGAAATTTTTTATCGAATTTCAGGATTTGACTGCATCAATTGATAATGAAGATGTTGCAAATTTTACTCGAGTAGTCAAGGAGTTTGAAAGCATAACCCGCTTGGTATATCTCTTTGTCCCAAGACCTAAGTAATGAGTATGAGGAGAAAAATGGACACATATTGTTAACATTCTATTATTTCATCTGCTCAAATTATTATCAGTATCGACATGTCAGTATTTCATCTGCTCAAATTATTATCAGTATCGGCATGTCAGTATCTTGTCTGGTGTCCATGTCTGTATCAGTTTTTCATAGGGTTTCTATCATTCTATTTTTAATTAAATGGTCATTTGCAATATTCAAGAGGTAGCCAAAAACATGTTTTAAATCCAGAATGTGACTGTTTCTATGTAGGAATCTTGGAAGTCAACTCTTTTAACCAGAGTTAAGGATGCTTTAGAAGCAAAAGTGATGGAAGAGGGTGATTTGACATGAAGAAATCGCAGTTTAATCTTCTGCCAATGAAGTTATTCCACTTTGTAAGTATATGTGGTATACAAAAGATATTATGGTGTATTGTATTTATAGTTTTAGAACAACAATCCTTCTCGGTAGTGAAAAGATACCAAAATAATATATGTATATTTAATTTATAATAAAATATATTAAATAAAATTTATGCAATACAAGTGAATAGTATAAATGAAAAACAAAAATTATTTAATGATGTATTAAATAAATTATTCATTTTAAATTTTTACATATAAGACAATTATTTTAGAATAGAGAATAGACTTTTAAAATATGTAATTTCTTTTATTATAAGCTCCAGAATTTTTTCGCATATTTAAAAAAAGAAATTCAATCAATTTAATAAATTTAATTATTTTATTTATTAATATACCAAAAATATCATCTGTATATTAATATATGTAACCTAAACTAAAATACATCATAAAATATTAGTTTAGAATCCACTAAAGCTTATTCACATTAGTTTGTCTTTATTTTTTTATTTTTGTTGGCCGAAACAATTTATCATAGTGTTATTGGAAATTATAAAAAAATAATGATAATATAAACTCAATTTATTAAATAACTATAAAAAGGACACGGAGAAAGAAAATAAACTTTGACATATTTGTTTCTTAAATAAAAGTAATAATTAATTAAAACTTTTTTTAATATTGTGTGATCTGTGAGATGAAAATTTTTATTATCATATTTATATATTAATTATCCTTTTATTATTAGTCAAAAAATTGATAGTTATTTTAATTACTTTTTTTTAATCAAGGATAAAATATATTAATTCAAAAAATAAGGAACAAACAAGGTGATCCTTATGGATCTAACCAACCTACAAAGACAAAACCCCTAAGAGCCCCCATTACATCATCATTTTTGCTATGTAACTTCTAAGTTTGACACTATGCCACCCACTATGCAGCATAATATCTATAATTTTTCCATCTATAGTTTTAACTTCTACATTATTCTCAAAACTTACATCATTTCTATAGTTCCATATGTTATAGATAATTTCAGCAACTGCCAATTTTAAGATGCCTGCTTTCCACCCTTTTCCTTTTTATAGCACCAATGATTCAAGTAAGCTCCTCATTCCATCTCTTAGGGTCATGCTCTATATTAATCCACCTCATAATTATATTCCATATAACTTTGATCTTTTGACACCCAAAAAGTAGATGGTTTAAAGTTTCCTCTTCCTTCTTGCATAGACTATAGAGACTGTGTTGCAGCAGGCCAAACCTCTTCAGTCTATCCTTCATGGCCGATTTGCCATGGCAGGCTAACCAGAGACAAACCAGAGCCCTGTATCTAGCTCTGTTATGGCTGATCAGCTTTCTCCAAGGAATTATGTTATCACCATCATTCAACATCGTATAGAAATGCTTCAGAGTAAACTTTTGGTGCACCATACACTGATCCCATAAATGTTGGACTTTGCCAATGCTTTCCCTCTCATTCAACATACTCTTGAAAATCCATAAGTTTGTGGACCTTGCTTCATAATCCAGCACATGATTACCTTTTAGATAATATGTGTGGATCTACCTCACCCACATATTATCAGCTTTCCTGCAAACATTCCATAAGCATTTAATTAAAGTTACACAATTCCATGCAGTCAGATTAATAATATCAAGACCTCCTTGCTTTCTGGAGCTACAGACTCTCTTCCAAGGAACAGGTTTTCCTGCCAATCTCATGTTTACAAGTCCAGATGAATGTTCTGCATATAACATCAATATTTTTAATCACAAACTTGAGAATTGGAAAGCATTTCATCCCATATTGAGCAATAGCACAAGATACACTTTTTACCAATTGGATTCTTGCTACAACATAATTGAGGAGCTTAGTTGTCCAATGCTTTACTCTGCTAACAATTTTCTCCACAAGAGGCGTATAATGGTGAATATTGAGCTTTTTCCTGGTGAGAGGGACTACAAGGTACCTAACTGGAAGGGACCCCCCTTCAAACTCAATAATTCCACTCAAAATCTCCTTGGTGCTCTGATTAACCCCACCAAAATACATTCTACACTTGGAGGGATTCACAGTCAGCCTAGTAGAGTCACAAAAAATCATGAAGGCATCCATTATCATCTCTACTGATTTGGCATCTTCTCTGAAAAATAGAAGGACATCATCTGTAAATATCAAGTTTGTGAGGTTAAGTTTTTCACATTTGGCATGGTGGTTGAAATTTGGATCTTTCTACATCTTGAGCATAGCTCTATGCATATACTCCATTATGATTACAAAGAGCAAGGGGAAATGGCCCCCCCTTTCCTTATCCATCTTTTTTCCTGCAGAAAATTAGAGAATTCCCCATCAATATTGAACTTGTATGAAACAGTAGTGACCCCAGTCATGATGCACTTGATGAAGAGCATGGAAATGCCAACTTCCATCAAACTATACTCCATAACATTCTAATTGACCATATCATAAGCCTTTTGAAGGTCAAGTTGCATCATTACTCTAGGTGTTTCCCTCTTTCTGTTGTACCCTTTAAGCAACTCATAAGCAAACAAAATATGGTTATGGATGTTTTGTCCAAGAACAAAAGCAGACTGACATGGACTGATGATGTTCTGCAGGACCTTCCCCAATCTGTCAATCATTATTTTTGGAAGGATCTTGGAGAAAGTTGTACAACCAACAATGGGTCTATAATCTTTAATAGTTCTAGCATTTTCATTTTTTAGGATCAAGGTGACCAGCTATTAAAAGCTTTGTATATTATGCAAGTTTCAAAAAATTGCTTGGTAGCTGCTATCACATCATCCTTTATAATATGCCAGCTAGCTTTGAAAAATCTAGCTCCATATCCATCTATACCATGAGACTTCATATCCTCAATGCCTTTGAGAGCTTTTACTATGTCCTGCTCACTAATGTTACTCATCAAGTACTCCCTCTGCTCCATACTCAACTGAGTCCCAGCTTCCATTGCCTCAATGTCAATATGAGTTAAGTTGTTGTCATCTTTTCCCATCAGCTGACCATAGAACTCCATGACCTCCCGCTCAATATCATGATGAGAATGAAGAGGGGTACCATTATTTTTTTTAATACCTTTCATACTCTTGGAAATTTGTTTGATTTTTATGGAGGCATAAAAAAAGAAGTTGTTCCCATCCCCCATCCTTAACCCATCAATTTTTGCCCTCTGCATAAGAATTTTCTCCTCAAGATCATTATACTTAATCACTTCCTCAGTACACTTCTTGACTCTTTCAATACATTGGGCATCCATTATATTGGCTATGAGATCAGTCTGAGCCTAGTTTAGATCTTCTCTAGTTTTCACTAGATTCCCCTTAACTTTAGAGAGAGGTTTACTGAACTGTCTAAGAATGGGTTGCAGTCTCATAAGTTTCATCCACATCACACACATAGGCTTGCCTCTAGTAGGTTTCTCCCAACTCCTTTTAACTATTTCATGATACTCATCAAGATGCACCAAGCAATTAATGAACTTGAAGTTCCTTTTGGTTTTTCTCTCTTGTGACTTTCTAGAGACATACAAGAAAGCATGATCAGAAATGTGGGGGGGGGGGGGGGGGGAGAATATTCATAACAATGTTGAGATTCTCTTGAAACCACTCCAGATTTCCCAATAACGTGTCAATTCTAGAATATATGGTATCAACCACCTGCTTATTTGACCATGTGAAGAAATCACCTTGTTGTCCATTTCATAAAGCCCAGTAGTAGTCATCATGTTCTGTAGATCTTCATACTCAGCTTCTGTCACCATTTTTCCACCAATACGATCTTGAGCTTTACCAACATTATTGAAATCTCCAATCACACACCTAGGGCCATGTTGGTTCCCATGAATGTGCTCAATATCCTTCCATAGAGTCCTTTTTTCTCGTTGATTATGAGCATACACAGCTTTGAGCCAATGTTTAAACCCACCATTGACATCATATACACCACAATGGATAAATTGAATTGAGCTTTGAACATGCCTAATATCAAATTTTGTGTTATCCCATTCGATCCATAATCTCCCATTATCACGATAAAGGTAATTATCTAAGTAGTTATTAGTGAGGCGAAGTTTTTCTCTAATCCTCTCAGCTTTAATGTTCTTAACTCTAGTTTCAATCAAGACAATAATTGCAGGCTTAATCTCTAGGAGACGGGAGCTAATCTCCCTGAGTTTCCCACTTTATTAAGCCCCCTAATGTTCCAAGAAACTATCAAGATCCCTTTCCTGTGGCCACAGGAGGTTCATTCAAAACTGTTAATTCTCTGAGTTATGTGATTGGCATTATGTTTGGTAAAACTAATATAACATCAATATGTTAAATAGGGTGTGCTAATTTGATAACAGGAACATGTTGTGCAAGAAGTCCTATCTTATGTTGAGATATGTTGAGATGAGAAGTTCTCATCATCTAGAGCAACATGTCAGATAAAATATCCTATGAAGGAGCATATGACATCGCTCCTGAACTGAGCTGGATTAATGGATTCTGTTATGATTTAACAAATGCAGAATATTCTGAGAATATTATGCAATCCTATGTGGCACTGTTTTATAGGTCAAGAGGAATATTGAAGAATATGCACTTTCTAATTATGGAGATAAATTAGGAAGATTTGATTGAAAACTTATTGTTATGCAGAATCTTTTGCAGAATTGTAAAAATTGATGAGTTGTGATTGAAGGCCCAAATCCAGTTAGGAATATGTTATAAATAGAAGCTTTGTAACCTAGGATTGGTACCATCAGTGTTTTGAAAAGATGTAATCATTAGTGTAAGTGAACCACTCGGGCTGTGAGATGGTCACTGTGTTCTCACTCAAACCTGTAGGTAATGAGTTGAGTATTATCATAGAGGAAGCTTTTAAGCAACTCTAAGTATTGTTCTTGATCAAAGATGTTTAGCAAGATCAAGTATGATGTTCTTAATAAAGGGGTGTCTTGATTAAGGTGTTTGTTTGTA